TGTGCTGGGATGGTGGGGCTTGGTTTCAGAGAGGGGAGGTACAGCTCGGCTGAGGGATGATTGTCTGTGGGAGCAGCAGAACAGAGCCCTGGTAATGGGTGTGAGCACAAAAGGTGAGCCAGCAGAACTTCAGCATGTGAGACAATCCCTTTAGGCACAGCTTCTGAAGCCCTGTGACTCCTGTGGGCAGGCACAAAGGGGCCTTTTGTCCTCTCTTCCTGCAGCATCCACGCTCCAGCTTCCTGCAAACTCTTCCTGCAAACTCGCTGGTTGTTGTTCCCTGTTTTCTGCAGCCTATGCCATGGTCTCTGGTGTCCCAGGGCTGCTTCCCTCTTCCCCTTTATGTTGGAGGAGGGCGCTGGGGATATCACCTGTAGGCTGAGCTGCTGAACTTGCCACAGGGCCGGGCACCACATGTGTCACCTGTCCCCTCTATCGCTTCCACTCAGAGCTGTCAGGAGTTGTCTGTTACTGTCTGGTTGTGGTCACCAGGCAGACAATAAATTTCTGATATTAAATCCTTACAAACTAACCACCAAGTTGAGGATAAACTCATTTCTCAGGCCTTGGGACAAGTTACAAACTATTCTGTTAAAGTTTAGGTATAAGATCACCTTTCAGCATTGAATACAGTTAAGCTTCAAAACATGAGCAGTCTGCATGTTCATAAAACAGGTTCAGCAAGCATCTGTCAAAGAGAGATGTGACATAATTTCCCTTTTGCATGGGACTCCTGGCCCCTGCTGAGCCCAGGAGAGGTGCTGGGGGCACACTTATCCTCTGCCTCCCTTTGCTGATATTCTCCCCTGCAAGAAAGGCTAAATTTACACAAAAAATAAATGACCAACACTAGCCAAAGCCATTTTTTTTTTCTCTAGTGAGATGGATTTCTGTAACCCACATTCCCTTCACTGGGAATTATCCCATTAGTTCCATGTAACAAACCTGCCACAGCCTCACTCCCTGCAGAACTTGTGCTCCCTAAGAGAGGTGTTCTCCATCCTCCCAAACCCTAGCCCCACATCTTGCCCTGGTGTTTGAAGGGACCAGGTAGGAAAGACAGAAATGGCAGCTCTTGGGTCATATGAAAAATTCTATCTAGAGATGCAAACATTTCTCTAAATAATTTCCACGTGCTGTATCCCACAAAACTGCTGTGCAGGGAGAGAGGAAAGGGAGCCCAGGGCAAGGACAAGGCTGTGCCAAAGGGATCTCCTCCCCTGTGCTCTCCTGTCCTGAAGGGCCATGGCTCAGGATTCACAGCACACCAAGGCTGAGAAGGAACAGGAGGCTATTTTTATTGGCATATCCAGAAAGAGGGATTTTTGGTGGGTGCTGTAATTATTTTCCTTTCTGAACATAATTCAGCCCTTAACCTTTCTCCTTCTTCTGCTTTCTCTCCCTCTGTAGATATTGTCTTTATTGTCAGCCTAATTAATGCCATCATACTTTTATGTCAGCCAAAAAAACCTCTCTGCAGCAATCTTAATGCAACCAACTGAATTTCATTCCATTTTGCTTCTTATAGAAATAGCAAGTGCTATGTTGTCTAAGAAATAAAAAGGGTAATTTCCTTTTTTTTTTCTATTTTTTTTTTTTCAGAGTATGGAATTTATAACTCTGGCTGAACAATGGCCCCCTGAGTGGCAGAGATTCATTTCAGAGACAATTGTTGTCCCAACTCTGTCACTGTAGCCACATCAAATCATTGTGATGGTTGCACACCAAGGGAAAAAAAAAACCCTCTTATTATTATTTTTGTTTTTTCTATCTGGTCTCTGTAACTTGACAAAGTTCTTTCAAATGGGAATTTTCAAGTCTTAAATTTAATGTATTATACTGTATTATTAGCCTTGTGTTTGTATCTCTTTGATATGATTCCTTTGCAAATGCTTGAAGTCTATGCAGGTCTATTGGGTAGCTTTAAATGCATTCTACAAAGAAACTTTAAATAATACAGATAGGAAAAAGGCTTTTATTTTACCCAGAAATTCAGGCTGCTGGCACATATCGGCTTGAAGGAAAATGATTTGTTTCTGTTCCACAAGTAATATTTCAACTAGTTACTGATATTTTTCCTTCTTTTATTATTGTTATACAGCTCACAAGGAAATGAATTTTTGTTTCAAATTAGTTTTTGAATAAGATATGCAGATTTCTAGCGAGTGTAAACATTAATTGTGTGTATTCTTTCTCTTTAGGCACCTTTGTTACTAAAGTAACAGCTACAGATGCAGATGATCCAGTGTATGGAAACAGTGCCAAGCTGGTTTATAGCATTCTGGAAGGACAGCCTTACTTTTCTATTGAGCCCCATACAGGTAGGTGACTCTGAATAGCAACCTCTGCCTTAGCAAATCATCTCCAGGGGAGGCTTAGACTGGGGATTGGGACAAATTTCTTCATGGAAAGGGTTGTCCAGCACTGGCACAGCTGCCAGGGCAGGGTGGGGAGTCTCCATCCCTGGAGGGATTTCCTTTAAAGCTGTGTGGATGTGGCCCTTGGGGCCATGGACAGGGTGGGCTGGGCAGTGCTGGGCAGTGCTTGGGCTCCATGTCTTAGAGGTTTTGTCCAGCCTGGAGCAATTCTCTGGTTACATTTGCAGAGGACCATCCCCTGCCCCCTGTGTGTCTCATCACCCAGATGTAACTCAAGTCACACTCGTGTTCCTCAGAGCCTGAGCTTGGGGAAAAACAGGGAAAATAGGGATTAATGGTAATGGGGGTGATGGTGATGGCAAAGTTACAGAATTTCCTGGAGCAACTGAAGGCAGAGGAGGAGCTGTGTGACAAAACTGATCAAGGAATGCAGGGTTTGGCCTGAGGGGTTTGATGAGTATAATGTAATGTTCAACAGGAGTCTATAGCATTCCCAGCTAAAATACAGTTTAGCTTGGGAATGTCAGTGAATATATTTTGTGTTTTCATCGAAAATTCTTTTTCTTTCTTGATTGGTTGGATCAATTTAGGGAGAGAAAGAGCATCCATCGTGAGTGTTGATGTGAAGTTTGATTAGCATGCATTTAGGGTGACTTTATTTCTCTGTGCTTTTGCAGTCTTGAAAGTCATCTGAAAGAAGTGCCAATAAATCCAGTCCCTCTTGTTTTCTGTACATAGGTTTTCCATATAGCAAATTCATTTAGTTATGTCTAAAAAAGCAAGCTTTAAGGTCATTTGATAATATTTCTAATATTCTGTTAATAGAAATCTTTTTGAATTGCTGTGAGTGAAGCAGCTGTGATCTAAGGAGAGGAAAACTAAAACTCTTTTTAAAACATACAAATATGCACCTGAATTTATACAGCTGTAAAGCAGTAAAACAGGAGTAAAAATTCTTGTCCTTGTGCAGAATAACAAAACTGTAAAATAAATGCCCAGAGAAATTATTAAAGGATGATTTTGATAGATTAAGTGAACTGAGTTTTCTCACCAACATTAAATACAGTACTCCTGTAATCTTTAAAAGCTGGAATTTCTTGAAATCTTTCTGATGAAATTGCTTGGAAAAATTATTTCCCATTCCTAGAAATGCCCTAGCTTTAAGGCACTTTATGTAAATAGTATGCATCAATAAATATTAATGGATTAGTCCAAAGTGGGATTTTCTGGTTGAAGGACAGCTATCCTAAATGTGAAAAGGATCTCTGGAATGTGATTCAGCCTTTTATTTTTACACTGCATGCAAAATAGAGTTTTACAGAGAAAAATTTTAGCACGGTACAATGGAAAAAGAGCAGCTTGTTCCAAAAATAAGTGTGTTAAGAGAATGTTTATTTGTGGAGACCCTTAGTTCCTGAGTGGAAATATAACTCTGAACAGACCTCTGACCATCAAGTAGCTAAATATACTGTTTGGTTTCTTTAATATTACAAATTATTGCATGCAGTAATGACTTCTGTGAGCTGTCTTAATTAGAGGGGAATTGACTGTAGGGTTTTTCTCAGTTTCTACTGGGGAAAGTTAGTTCCTTAGCATGGGGACACATCAGCTTTCCTAAAGGAGCTGAGAAGTGCATTCTCCACCTACACAGATTTTCTTTCACAGAAAAATGGCCTGAAAGAAATATTCCACATGTTAAAAAATACTTAATTTTCCTTATTTTTCTTATTTGTATTGCATTAAACTCTAATGCTCAATCCAAAGAAGTAACTATTCCTCATCTAGGAAAGTGATTCCTGTTACCATGAAAACCAGAGAGCTCCAAAGCTTCTTGGTGAACCTGAAAATCAAGGTTTTTCTCCTGTTCCACTGCCATTAATTCCCCTCTCCTCCCTTCATTTCCACCTACAAATATTCCTTTGCAGAGCAGTTCAGTTACCATGAAAATGACATGTTAGTGTCTGAAAGGGGAATTTATTAACAAAGAATTCAACTGTGGCCACAGTCCCTAAGTGACTTCATCTTGTGGAGCTGCTTCTGAGCAAATAAAATGGTTTCAGATGCCCCATTTTTCTAGATCTGTGGAGGACATCAATCATGTTCTTCTCGAATTCACTGCAAATGCCTGAGTTTCTGTACTGGCACTGTTCCTGTTTCTTTGCCATCTCTATGTAGAGCCTTTCAGCTGTAGTGGAATCACCATCCTGCTCTCACCAAACAGCACACACTGCTTTGTTTAGGGTATATAAACTGTAAATATACATAAAAGTTTAATCATTCATCAGTCCAGATGCAGGTAGTTATGTCAAAGCTGCAGCCACATAGACAGGGTGGAAAAGATTGTTCTAAAGCAAAATGTCCAAGGCAAAGATGAAGTGTGCAGATATTTGTTTCTTTATATTTGTCCAATCTTTGCAATGTGAGCCATCACAGCTCTCAGTAACTAAGCCAGGAAAACAGATTATCTTGCAGTTCTCAGGACCCTCAGGGGAGGTTTTCATGTGGGAAGGTGTTTGGATACTCTTGTGACAGCCTACAAATTAAAGCAGAGCAGGTCCAGCAGTGTTTCACCCCAAACAAATCCAACCCGAAGATGATCCTCCAGGAGTGGCACATATTTTAGGGTTTGAGGGTTGTTTGGGATTTTTTGGGGGTGTGAGAGAGAATGTGGATGTGTGTATAGCTGCATTTTCTCTGTGATTACACTTCATTAGGGCACTGATATGTTGAAAGCCTTTTCAATTAATTTGAAACAGAATAGTTTCTGAACACAGATATTGTGTCTCCCCCTAAATGGCATCAGCATTTTAAGAAATGGGTTGTGTGAGAGTGATCCACTTCAGAATGTAAATATTTTATGTCATTCATAGGAGTGTATCAAGTGTTATCAAAAGTATAGCTATTGAGAGCTGATCTATTTACAATTTTTCTAGATGACTTTTATAATCTTTCGTAGAAACCAAGAGTAAATGTAGATCTATGCAGCTGCCTACACCAGGGCAGTATTATGTGTAAATTTTTAATTTCCTGGCTCAGAGTAAGGATTGTCTGACCTTCCTGCTTGGCTTTAATGGCACGTGGAGAGTGAACCATGAGGAATTACCCTGATTCCTCTGCCTCTGTAGTCCTCAGAATAAAAAGAGAGAGAAAGGAGGGGGCTGTGGCTTTGTGCCTGAGCTGAGGAAGGGCTGTCACACTGAGGATAAGTGTGAGGGAAGCAGTTGCTCACTCTCCTGCATCTTGGTTCCTCCTGGCTTGGCAGGAATTGGGTGAGGCCCTTACCTTAATCACTCTCACATTACTGAACCTCCTCTCTGAAACACTTCTCTAATGCTGGGCACAAAGAAACAAGTGCTGGTGAGTGACCCATAAAACAATAATTTTCCATTACCTGAGATGAAAAATGCATATATTGCTGCAGTTCTAGTTTGCAGGTTCTTCTGTAAGAGTTATAGACACATGAATGGAGGTCATTCAGAAGTTATTTTACACTCAGTGCTCTGAATGTGGCTTAGAGCAAATGCTTTTTTGATGGCTTGTTGTAAATATTTTTCACTTTTTGTAGGTGAATTTTATTATAACCATTGGTTTGTTGGATAGAGGGTGGATGTAATTAATACAGAGCAAAGATACAGATTTGGATTTTTTTCTGTGAGAGACAAAACTTACAATATGATGGCATCAGATTAGTAACAAAACTCATGGTGGGCTGAAATATATTCCTTCTATCATTATGGTTCCATCTCAGTAACTGATGCCAGGCTCCCTGCCTAGTGTGTTTTATTTATAGAGGTACACAAGTTGTATGGATTCTCTCATAATCCAACTGATGACAATCCAAATGCTGGGAAAGGGGGTTCCTTAAGACTGCTAAAAGTAGCTGGAGTACACTTCTCACTTTTAAGCTTTTTCAAGGATATTAAATCATGACTGTCAGCTTTAAAATAAGATTATCATAATGAAAAGTAATATGAAGTGACACTGTGTTCTACAATATAGGGATGGCAGAGGAAATACATTTTCAGCTGTGTCTGACTTATTTACATTTCACATGAACTTAAATAATGTCACTCCTACACATACCTGAAATATAGCTACGTGAACAAGGCAAATTATAGCAAAGCCCTACTGCACTGGAAAGCACATGGGATTAGTGGAGCACAAGCCTTTAGTCTGGATGAAAAAGAGCAGCTTTTAAACACTGCCTCTTGGATATGGGCATTTGGTACAAAGCCAAGGCTCTAGGAGGTACAGCTGAGATGGATGGAAGAGTCAGCAGACCCAGAAAGCTGAAGACTCTCCTAATAGAATGTGGATATTTATTTGGAGAGTGAATAATTGTGGGGTTTTTCCCTATACCTGTTTTTACTTTCAGTTGGAAGAGCACATGCTTTAAACAGCAGAGTTTTTAATTTAGTGTGTGGCCCTCTGGTTCATAGTGCTGAATCCCTGGAATCAGAACATAAATGAGTAGGCCTAGGAAGAATGAAAACTTTGCTCAACAGAAGGCAGGTTGGAATCTTTTATTTTAATTCGCAGTCTTGCCTCCATTTAGACCTTATAATAGAGTCCAGCAGAATGAAAACAAGTAAGGGAGCAAGAAGGTATAAACCAGCACCTTTTTAGTTACAGATATGTTTGTTGTGCTCAGGCTATTTCTTCTGTCTGGTTGTTAATGTCCAGTTCATTCCCAATGGTACAAGATCCCCTCAGAATATTGTGTGTAGGGCTGGTAAGAGCTGTCATCATAAAAAAACCACTGCTGAGATACTGAGAAAGTTCAAAGCAGGGTAGCCAAGGTCAGGAGAATATTACTTATAATGAAAGACTGATTGAACTAAATTTGTATAAACTGGATCAGAGGTGATTAAAGAAGGATATGAAATCACTGCACAAATATTTGAGAGGTGTTAATAAAAGAGAGGCATGGGGACTGTTTTTGT